AAGGGCCCCTTATTCTTGCTCTGGCTGTTATTCAGCAGGGATAGAAAATAGTCTGGCTTTACTGCTTTGGTCACCGGGGATAGGACCAGAAAATGGCAGAAATAGAGCTGCACACATAGATCTCTATATATTTTTTACTATTTTAGGGTATCCACATATATGGACCAATTTCAAGAATTGACAACGAGACCTTTAGAAAATATATGCAATTAAAATAAACTTAAATCCTTTAGCAAGCACATGGCTGGTTTAAAAATAAATAGATAAATGATAAAATATTTTAGCAGGCAGCTCAACAATTGTCCTGCAGACTTCGTCACAAAAAAGGTAATGAAAACAATGCCCTTGGATATTTTTCATACTTTTCAGGGGCCAGTCTTCCCCCCTCCCAAAATTTGGATCATGTCATCGTTCCAATTTCAACGGATGTCCCGAAGGAATAGGGGCCAGGCTTACCTGCAGAGACGACAGACAGATTTTGAAAGTCCGCTTCATCCCCTGTCAGAGTGTACAGTATGGATGTCTTCACGTCCTGATGCAGATCAGGCACCTCCCCTGCCACCCTTCGCAATCCATTCTGGCAGGTGCTGGCCACTTCATTCCTGAGGTTTTTTTCTTCCCCCTTTTTTCTTCCCTTTTTTTCCCCTTTTTGCCCCCCTTCTTTTTCCCCTTTTATTCACTTCTTCTCTCTTTTTGAAAGGGCAACAGCCTTTAGCTATCATCATTGAACTGACCAGCACCAGGCAATTCAGAATGATTTCTTTCTGCTCATCTGATAGTCTCTGGATTCGAACTTGAGTCCATATTTCAACAGTTCATGGGTGTACTAACTGAGCTATGCCCGTTGGTGTTTCCCAAAATTTCCCAAGGGACCGCAGTGCCATTCACCTTTTCTATTCTTCTATTCCGACATTCGGGTTTTTTTCCCCCTCGACTTATGTGTGTCATTCTTTTACAGGGGTCATGCTTATCTTGTCTGTATTGTTCCAATTCGGCATAAATGATAAATTGGTACGTATGTCCATTTCCCAATTTCTTTGTGTCATCAAAACACACATATACCACGCAAGGCATGGTAGCGCAGCCCAGAGGACGCCCGCGTGAAAGGATGAAAAAACGAATTTGAGCTCACAACCTTGCAACTACAACCCCACCTCGAGACCATCGGATGATATCATCTCAACAGATGATATCATCTCAACAGAACATCCATGATGATATCGCCCTGACCCAAAAAAAAAACGAAAGAAACTCCCCTTCCTTACAGCATCCCTGCGTCATTCTACGTCATCAGATACATCCACATCTCCAAACCTTCGCCCTTCCTCTTCCCCTTACGTCATCCCTGCATCATACTGTGTCATCAAACGCACTCACTACACACCCCACGATACTCTCCCCACACGATTCCTATGATCGCTACATCGCCCACTATACCTTACCACCCCCCCTCTCCTCGCTTCGCATCGCCCAGTGATACCTCCCCAGACGCGGACATCACGTGCACATTGACCACGCCATAGCCAACACACAGGCTCAAGACCCACCCGCGGCATGCAACGACTGTGTCAACGCTATGCTACCACGTGCAATGACTTCCAAACGATTTTGATTTTTCGAAATCCCGCCAGGATACTGAAAAGAGAGACAAACACTGTAAACACACAGAAAATAAACACATTCAAAAAAATCGGTTTTGGGCCTCGGGACCTGGAAATGAATCCTCCGCTACAATGTGGAGAAATACATGCCCAAACCCACAAAAAAAAGCGGCCCTCAGTTGAAAAGTCTGCAGCCTCCTTCCCTTGTAAGTCCCTCCTAAGGCCCGCCACAACCCCTCCCATTCCGGAAACGGAAAACGCCGGCCGCCATCCCAAATCAATGCCAAACGACCTCTGCGGCCTACTGCTGGATGCCCGCCCTTCTACCTCTGTCACGACCCTTCGACCTACCGGTCTTAGGCACGCCTGTGACCTCACCCTTCCCTACTGCCCGACGACACCTCTAAGCCCCCGTTCATCCACGACGACTTTCCCAACGGGAAAGCTGCACTACACGACGAAACGCAACCAGGATAAGTGCAGCCTCCTGGCTGCGAACAGGGAGCGCTTCGTGTCATCAAAACACGCACCAACTGGACTAGCTCAGTTGATACAACCCTGAACTGTTGAAATAGAGACCTGGGCTTGAATTCCACTGGAAGCAGACGAGTAACATACTACAACCCTGAATTACCTAGGGCCGGTCATGAGATGATCATATCTCACGGCCGTCGCCCTTTTCTATACTCTATAATAATGGGAATAGCGGGTCTCATGTGACGCCGCTGTGAACCCGGGGGCCCTGTGTTGGGAAATTGGCCACAGACAAGGTGTGGGCCCAGAGGGAACTTGCACGGAATGCAGTTTTTGTTTTTCCCCGTTTGCGCGAGTTCGAACGATGGTGCTATGCGGGCCCAAGGGGAACTTGCACAGAATGTACTTTTTGTTTTTCCCGTTCGTGTGAGTTCGAACAGCGGTGCGGCACAGGAAGAGTATGGACGCGGGGAAGCATGGCCATGCGCCTTGCTTTCATTCCGGAAATTTCGCACGCACATGGGAAAATCGAACACAGCTGCGCACCAGCCGGAAGTTTTTCCACGGCACGTTGTTGTCCGAATACGCACACACACTCAGACACGTGGAAGTGTATATTTCCATGTTCCGGCAGTAGATTCATTCGATTTTGCTCAACCTATCAATGGAAGTACCATGAGCTCAGCCGCGAGGTTGGAGACTTACCTGTTCTCTCCTCTCTCTCTCTCTCTCTCTCTCTCTCTCTCTCTCTCTCTCTCCATAGGATGAGCAAAATGGGAATGAATCTGTCACTAGAGCATGGAAATATACATTGCCACATTTTCGGTCTTTGGCAGTGGATACTTCCATGTTCTAGGGGAAGACACACACACACACATACACACACAAAAAAAGGAAAGCAGAAAAAAAAAGTGTGGCAGTGTATATTTCCATATTCTGGCTGAAGATTCATTCCGGATTCGCTCATCCTGCACACACACACACACGGATTTGCGCATCCTACACACACACACACACAGACCGACATTGACACTCTTTTTTGTGTGTCTTGCCCTAGAACATGGTCCACTGCCACAACATGGAAATATACACTTCCAAAGACCGAAAATGTGGCAGTGTATATTTCCATGTTCGAGCGACAGATTCATTCCCATTTTGCTCATCCTATGCATGGAAATCTCTCTCTCTCTCTCTCTCTCTCTCTCTCTCTCTCTCTCTCTTGCGCGCGCGCGCGTGCCATTTGCATCTGACAGCTCCTTAGCCCATACTTCTGTCCATGGCGGTGTATCTTCCTATGTTCTTGCGGAAGATTCCTTCTCATTTTGCACATTGCCAGGCTGCTCAGTTGATGCACACAGGAAAAAAAAAAGTGTGGCAGTGTATATTTCCATGTTCTGGCTGAAGATTCGTTCCGATTTTTCTCATCCTACACACACACACACACACACACAGGTACATTGCCACTCTTCCTGCCGTGTATAGACAGGACTGGGGCGCCGCTTCGCTGCATCAACTTGTTAAATTAACAGAAAGAAAAAAAAATGGAACAGTACACAGAAGATGAGTATGGGCCCTGGACCCACTAGCAAGGTATTCTACCACGCCGTTCAGGATTTCGATCACGTGTGGCATCGAGTGACTCAGTACGGCCGTCCAATAGATCGGATCTCGACGGCCTGGTAGTTTCCGAGCGGGGACTGTAAAGATGCCCACCTCCCGTCCAATGAGATGCGTCCAAAAAAAAAAAAAAACGAAGTTGGACTAACTTGGACATGATAGCTCGTGGCTTTGCGTGGGTGGGAAGTCAGGATTTTATGGGCTCTAAAGGGGGGGGGTTTGATTTCCAGACTTCGTTTTTCTTTTTTTTTGGCTCTGAGAAATAGAACTTGAAATGTGAAATTCGAATATTGTGGTGCATCTGACAGGAACGCTTCCGCGTCTGTCGGATGGCCTGCTAAAGGCATCATGAGATACATTGCGAGGAATGTATCCCAATACCCGTTACTTGTTCATCCTCGTGAATGTGTTTGTGGACACATTTTATGGCCACGGTACATCACTATGAAGACTTACGTGAAGGAGATCGTACCAACCCATGAATTCAGGTGCACAGCTGTTCTTCATAGTTTTATGTGCTATTTCAATTCATTTTAAATCAGAAAACGATCCATTCATGCAAATAAAAAATCACTGTGTGACGAAGTGAGAGGAGGCGCCGTAGCGCTCAAGTCTCGCGACGCGCAAGCTTAGCACGTTAGGGTTTCCTTTCGGAGGCGCGGAGTTGAACTCCATACCCCGGCGCGCGCAGCACGGGGGAGACGTGTCACGTAGCGGTCGGTCTTTGTTGTAGACTGAGCAACAAGTGCCGAACTTGTCCTGGGGGGGGGAGCGTTTTTTGGTGGCAGCTTCACGGTTGGAGGAGATACCTCGACGATACAGGTACAGAGTGAACAACTAGAACAAGCCGAATGTATTGAGCCGAAGAACGCTGTTAAATGGCGTCCTTCTCATGGAACATGTGGAACTTTCACAGCATCTGAAGTGAGCATTCTCCTCCCTTCAGAGGAACAAGGGGGTGTGAGCACTATCTGGCCGTTGAAGTGGAAGGATCAACGGAGAGGAGAATAGTAACCTTTTTTCCTTTTTTGGGGCCGGATAACGAGTCATAACTTGAACCAGCCGTCCTTGTTGCGACGTGGCTTCTGTTTACTAAGGGTTTCTCTTTGGCCGAAGGAGAGTAGTATGCTGTAACGAGCTACAACCCTTCGTCTGATCCCTTGGTAAAGGACAATAAGGCATGTGTGACAGTGAAAGGACATCTTGGAGCAGGGCGAGCCACCAACAGAAGGGTGAGTGATCGAACCCTGCAGACAACGACGGCGAGATCTCCATGCGAGCTCTGCAAGAACGAACGTGAGAGTCAGCAACAGCGAGGAACCACCGCCAATTCTTCGGATAGCCAGGAGCTCTGGCAGAATAAGGATACTTTGAAGAAACGGCGGGATTCCGATGGAGTTGAACGTATGTTGCTTGAACTGTGGGTGTGAACTAAGATGGGTCTGTGTGATAGGGCAGTGCCATCGGCCACAAAATGGTGATGATGAGGTAATACTATGGAGAGCGAATGATGTCAATCAGATTCTGCGGAATAGACGGGATGATTCTCACAATCCAGGGGATGATAATGACGATAATGCTGATGATGCTGCTGATGATGCTGATGATGATGATGATGTTAATCATGACGAGGAAGATAACGGTGATATGGGTCGTTGGAATCAGAAGACTGGAGATGGCGAAAATGATGGTGAAAATCTGAAGTCTGGGTACGGCGATAATGATGGTGATAATGAATCGTTGGCATCATTGGAATCAACTCAAAATGGCAATGATGATGATGATGATGATGATGATGATGATGATGATGATGATGATGGGGATAACGGTGGTATGAATAGTTGGACTCTGAAGATTGGGGATCATGGCGATAATGAGGGTGATAATGAATCTTTGACAGCGTTGGAATCACCTCAAAATGGTGATCGTGATGATGATGAGGAGGAGGAGGAGGATGGGGATAATGACAATATGAGTCGTTGGAATCAGAACACTGGGGATAAAGAAAAGGACGACCATAACGCAGAACTGGGCGGTACAGTCCATTGGGACAAGAAGGGAAGTGAAGACAGGAGAGGGGGGTTCAAAGGTTCTGGCTACATGAAATGTAGTGAGCGCGAGGGCAAAGACAACAGTGTGGAAAAAGCTCGTAGCCGGCGGGGGAGGAGACGGGATTGGAGAATTCCTTGGTGCTGAGAGAAAACGTGTGCATGTGTGTGTGTGTGTGTG